GCCCCAGATGCCGAGAGATTTCTCCTCGTAGACGTTCGTGCGCCGTACGGAGATGGCGATGGGGAAGACGGAGATGTACATCATGACGAGGTAGCTGACTTGGATCGCGGGGTGCAAGGCGGCGAGGTTGATGCAGGAGAAACCAGCGGTTCTGGTTGAAGTCGCTTGGAACCAGCCATCGAGGACCCGGAGGCCGACTGGGAGCGTGGTGACGGCTGAGTCGTTGAGGTCGAGGACGACGAAGAAGATGAGATCGAGGCCGTTAAGGCCGGCGAGGATCCAGAAGAGCCACCAGGTCGCCTTGGAGGGGAAGAGGAGCGTGAAGCAGCGACGGGGGTGATCGAGGAGGAAACGGAGTTCTTCCCAAAGGCCTGTTCCGGTCGGCACCAATATACTGGCGACCCAGATGACGAATCTGAGCATGCAGGGGAAGCCAGTATTGCCGATGATGATCAAGAACGATCCAAAAAGTAATGGTAAGACGCCGTTATTGAAGCTGTTCATGCTATCCGGCGTGAGTGTGAATCCCAAGTCGTTGAACATCGAGGCTGGCGTCCAGATGCCCCACCACACCAGATTCGTTCCTGAGCTTTCCACGTACTGCCGGTACGTAGACGGTGCCGAGCTAGAGCTGGGCAGCAGTTGGCCCTGCGTATGGAGAATCCACGGCAAGTAAACGAACATACCAAGAAGGTGGAAGCCTACGAAATAGAGGATCAGAACCTTAGCCAGCGTCTTGAGCGCACGATATTCAATGCCGCCAAGCTCATCGCGCTGATCTTCCGTGAGTCCCAGGAAAGCGGAGTTGCGACCAATGGTGGCCTGCCAGCTGAGGTACGGCATCGGGTCCTCCAATGACGCCCTTGTGCGGGCTGTCGTCATGCTGCTAAAGGTCTTCGCAATGCTGTTCCGGGAATCGAGTTTTGGGCCTCCGGTCTGCGATCGGGAGTGAGAGTGGCCACGGCGGCGGGTGAGGTTGCTCTTCACCTTGCTTAGTGTCTGCCGAAACCCAGCATCGTTTGCGGCAGCGTCGTCAGTATTCTCGGCCGCCTTCATTTGGGCACGTGCTCGGCCCGGAATATGATCCGGCTCGTTGAAAGTAATAGCTCGAGGCGGATGCTCGTCAACATTCAGTCCTTCCTTCTTGCTGCCAATGCTCAGCCGTCTGGCGCGCTCCTGTTCAGTGGTGGGCGGTCTATCGGAAGTATCCCTCGTCAGTGGCTGGTGGGGGTTGTCGTCATCATCACTGTCTACCTCTGCCGGCATCTCTCCGCGATCAAAGTCTCGCGGGCCAGGAATCCGCAATGTGCCTTCCTTGTGTTTGGCATGCCGTTGCTGTTGCTCCAGGAAGCGAATGTGCTTAGCCATGTCCGTGCTTTCGGACACACCCGGCAAGTCCGAGGCTTGCTTGGCATGGGTGGATATCTCGTCTGCAAATGTGATTTCTCTCCTCAATCCAGGGTTGAGGCCCAGGTACGATGCCGGCGGTGTGCTTGGCGTCTGCGGCGCAGTCTCAAAACCGGCAAGGTCTTTCTCGTCCATCATCACTTCATCACTATTGTTGCTGTCCCTGTTACTACTCTCAGGCGTAGGCGAAACGCTCCTGGACCGCTCGCCCAACCCCAGCTTTTCCACAAACCTCTTCTCCGTCGGAGACATCTGCACTGTATTCCCACTCATGCCATTCGGTGTTGTGGTGTCGTGCAACACGCGAATCTCCCTGCCGTTGACGCCCTTTTCCAACCGACTCGGATCAATGATTCTGTCTATGTCACTCTTGCTCTTGGAGAAAGTCCTCGTCCTCGACCTGCGTGCGCTCCTCGACTCCCTCACGAGATGCTGGAAGCGCTTCTCAAACCAATACAAGCGGACGAAGACAACGGCCGAGTTGATGAAGATTGGGTTCGCGATGCAGGCGAGCAGCATGATGACGATTTGTTGGTAGAGATATATGTCGTTTGTATTTACCGAATTGAGGCCGGCTTGGGTGGATGCGCCAGCGGTGAAGAAGAGGGCATCGATGTATGCCAGACCACCAGCGGGGTATATGAGAATGGAACCGATGATGGTGCATCCCATGATATACATGTAGTGTACCGTGATGAAGTTGGGATGCGCCAGGTGCCACTTGCGCGGGTCGAGCATGCGGACCCATTTGCCGACTTGCTGGCGCGCGTCTTCTAAGACCATGTTGACTGTGGTCGACTGCTGGAGGCACAGCTTGGCGAGTGTGTGTATAGATGCTGTAGGAGGTCGATGTTGAAGCCGTTGAGGGGAGTCTAGAGGTATATGTAGCTGCTGGCGCAAGCTAGTGGTGTCATGTGAACGCGTCGCCGGCGCTGTGAGTTGATCGAAGCACAAGTGAGGCCGGCATATCTATCTCCAGTGAGTAGTGTCGTAGTGAGGTCGAGATGTGTTGTTGCCGTGCTTTTGCCATTGCTGCCCACGATCTGGTACGCCAAGCTCACGGGTCCATGTGCATCTGCTTGGCAAGTGACGGTGGCTAACCGCTGGGGGCGGTGCTGTTGCTGGACCTCTACACCATCCAAGCTCTACGCACATGGAGTGTCTTGAGGCGTGTGGTGGCGTTGTTGGCGAGTGCTCATGAGCATCCTCCCATTCGCTTTGCCTTCGCCGTGCCTGCTTTTTCATGTCGGGAAGTTGGTCGGAGCGGGATGATGGTCTAGCCGCGGCTTCGACTTTCAGCCCTACAGTATCGATCCGACATAGCACCCTCGACGATCGATGGTACATGTACGGAACACATGTAATAATTGAATAAGGTAAGTGGACCTACAATCTACGACACGGTTAACGGATGGATTGTTGATAAGACATGGCACATTCACGATCCCACGCGATGTACACAGTCTTTCCCCAGTGCAAACAGCACGCTCCGGCACGCATCCTCGTAACTCCACTCACTGTTCAATGATGCGACTTCACGTCTCATTGAACCGGCGGACAGCCATGGTCCTTACAGGCTGGTCAATATTATTTACCAAGGCCGACTCCTTCATGTTTCTCGGGCTCTTTACGCTTAAGCAATGACCTAATGCTCTACTATAAAGTGTCTTTAACAGGCTGGAGCTAATCCCTGCGTTTTATAGCGATGGGATAGAACTGTTTGCTATATATACCCTAAAGCTTAGCTCCTCCCGCCCAGTCGCATAACCTTAGAGGAAGTGCTAGCTAGGTTTTAAGCTTAGGGTCGAACAGGAAGTGCGACATAGCTTCTACCTACGGCGACGAGGGCTAAGCCTTAGAAGCTAGCTCCTGCGGGAGTTTTATAGCGGCATAATAAGTCTATAGGTGTCTAAGATCTAGAGATACAAGGCCGACTATACTATCTTCGCGGCACTGCTCCAGTAAATCGCTAAACAACTATAGAAGCCCCCTAGCGTCTAGTTTACGCTCCTGGAGCGCACTAGTCGGCACGTTATCCTCGCTAGCGTAGTCTAAGGGCTTCGCATTAGACTTAAGCAAAGTCTTAGTCGTTATATCCCCTGGATTAGCCTAGGCGAGAATCTGCTCCGCATCTTCGACAGCGGCCGCGGCGTGCTGCTAGATAAACTTTAGCATCTCGACAAGTGCGCCTTACCTATAGAAAAGCACTCCGCGGTCCTAGCACTTATTAGGGACGTGCGTAAGCTCACTCTAACTAGCATCGACTTTCCTGCGCTAGAAGTACTAAAAAGCACCTCCGCTGCGATAAGGCTAATAGCAAACGAGGAAATGCTATAGCCGGTTCTTAGCGAATAGAGAGCTTAGCCTAGCAACAAATATAAATAGGCCAGTCCTAGTTTGCACCTTATACTTAATATAAACGGACTCGTCTATCCTAGCGATGTTTAGAATAAAGTTATAGATAAGGGGCGAGATAGGGTTAAGGTTAACGTCGATGCCTTTAATAAGCCCCGCTAATTGTGCAGCCTTAATATCGCACTACATCCCTCGTATAGCTGCGATAGAGTTTCTTAACCTCGCTTAAGTGCTGCTATTGCTAGTAACTAGGAACAACTCGACATAGTAGCTTGTTAGCTGCGACGCTCTAGGCACGTCTAGCGCTATAGCGAGTCCTAGGTCGACCTAAGTTGCATTCTGCAGTAGCGGCTCGCCTAGAAGCTAACCCTTAAGGACAACTCCTGTCGTTAGATTGTAGTACTAATGCTCGCTATCTGCAATAAGAATCCGCTATATAGCCTCTCGCAAATATAAGAGGTGCACTATAAAGGGGGAGCACTAGGCTATAATTTGAAGAATTAGCGGCAGGGTATTATACGCGAAGTTAGTGCTCTCGTCCTAGACGTTCCTAGGGACAAGACCGATATAATTATAAACATCCTGGAAAACTAGCATATATAGAGCGACGCTGCGCCTCTGTCCTCTTATAGTTAGGCGAAAGGCATAGTATTAGCCCTTTCGGTCTATAATATACTCGTAGTACTTAACGTTAAAGGGCAGGAGCTGCGCCCAACTCGCTGTTTCGGCCTATAGTAACCGGTCGAGCGCAGATGCCCTAATCTATTCCTCGTTTAGGGGTATGCCTCTAAGAAAAGCACCGTCTACAGGAGCAGTCTTAAAGGCTATATATAGGTCTTAGTTATTAGGCTAACATAACGACTAAAGAGACAAAGACCGACTTACCCTTGATAGCTGGGATACCTTGAGATTGTAGGAGCTCAAAAACCCAGGCCTCGTGAAGTAGTCCTCTTACTATTCTACCTCCGTGTGATCGAGGATTCTTAGTCGCTGAGCTCTTTACGAAGGGTAGGATCTTAGTACGGACAAAATCTGCAAACTCCTGGCGGCTAACAAATCCTGTCGCCATGTTGCCCTTCTAGGAACTCTTTCTATAGCATGAAAATTCGGCACCTGTAAGTTAAAGTTCGGAAGTCTCCGCAGAGACGCCGACGCAACTGCTGTATATACTATCCTTCATACCAGTACTACAATCAGTACTATATATTATTATAGAGCGGGTATTGCTACAGCATTAGGGCTTCATGGTCTAGTGGTATGATTCTTGCTTTGGGCTACCTCCTCATTTGCAAGAGGCCCCGCGTTCGAGTCGCGGTGGAGCCCCTACACAGATGGTACGAACCCATCTGGAGTGGTATGTTGCTTTTGCTCGTTGGGCGTGCGGTAGGTAGGACGGTGCTCGACTGGGCGCACGCAGAGGAGAGAGAAGTGGAAGACTTTTTGCAGTAGTACGACACCCGCTTTGTTACTGTCGTATAACGGTTGCCTGCGCCCTGGACTAGAATGCCAACTCACGCACCCATCTATCCCCAAGCCATGCCCACAACAGCAGTGCAAGACCTCACTCAGTAACGCTCCCTCGCTCAACAAAACGCCTCAACACTCCTTTTCGGAAGCCACATACTCACCCACCGCAGAGCAGCGCACCGCACCGCACCGCACCGCACCGCATCGCAGCGCACCTCAGCAGCAAACACCAGCCTCTATCCTCCTCATGACCCACACCCATATCATGCCTCGCTCGCTCACCTCCCTCTGCCGCCCTTTTCCCTATAGCCCTTCCTTACCCGCCCTCACATCCCCCCCACCACCGCTCCCCCCAATTCCCCTCGTCCCAGCAGCGGAAGAACTCCTCGCCGGCCCGGCCGCGCTACCACCGGCGCCCAGACTCTTCACGCTCCCTGAGGAGGTAGGTCGGTGCCCACTACTACTGCCTCCGCTACCGCCACCACCGCTGTTGCTTCGCGAGCGCGTGCGGGTCATGCCGTGGCCTATGAGGGCTTTGTGCTGGGTTTGCGGTTTGAGGTGGTGATGTTGTTGTTGCTGGGTTTGGGCCTGAGGTTGCTCGGCGGAGTTGGTGCTGCTAGAGGGTCGGGATTTCTATATAGAAAGCACGGCTCGAAATCAGAAAATCCAAACGCGAGCAAGCAAGGTTTGCGAGCATTAACGTGAGATATGGATGCTCTAGGTTAGGTTACAAGGCCTTTTTGCGATGCCAATGTAGGAGTAGAAAGGAGGGAATACCCCATCACCGGAGGGGAGATGGGAGGCAAGCAAACCGGCCCCGAATCAAATTCAGATTCAACGTACCGAGTTATTGCCGCCCACCCCGCCTCCCCGGTCCCCGTATTCTTTCCCGCCGCCCACACCCGGCGCTCTCCGCCCATCATCTTGTAACCGCAATTGCTCCATCCGCCGCGAACTGCTATCCTGTCCCAGCGCGTCATTGGGCACACCACCCAAGCCGCCGCTGCCGTCTTGTCGCATCTGTAGCGAAGCCGGAAGTGAGAGGCCTTTCAAAGTCGGGCCTCCGTTCCGCGAGTATTCCCCGCCGCCGGCGATGCCACCAACGTGGTGGCCTCCCACGGCACCACTCGCGCCATTCATCTTCATCTGTTCGGCGAGTTGCGCGAGGCGATCCCACTTCGCTTGCCGCACCTGCTTCACTGCCTCGGCGTTGTTCTGCTGCTCCGTGTAGTCGTGCGAGCACTCGTCGAATAGCTGTGGGTTGACTTCCATGAACAGCTTCATAGCATTGTACACCATGCCGTGGATGGTCCTGAGGTGTCATTAGTACACGTACAGAGACATGCACGAGATATTGAGGATCAACAAACCGGTTCCAATGACCCTTTGAGTTCTCATACAGCGGCGCGAACATGATGGGCAGGATCACGTCCACGTTGTCGCTGACCAAATTGCAGAAGTACTCGTTGTTCCAGAAGTAAAGTGCTCGCTCGGCGACCTGTGTCCGACCCGTTAGCCAAAACGCAAACCAATCGCTTCGCAAAACAAACGCCATTCTCACCTGGAAATGTGGGCTAGCCACGCTCTTAGCCAATTGGTTGAACAAGGGTTCCTGCACCTTGGCAAACTCGGCCGGATCCATGACCTCGAATATGTCCTCCACCTCGTTCAAAAACATAACCTCCTTCGTGCTATTGACCTTGGGCCAATACCGCAGCAAACCCAACACCACCTCCTCCGTCAATGCCGCATCCTTTTCCAGGAATTGCACGATGCAGTACGCCAGCTGCGGATGGTACATGCTCAAACTCTTGACTTTGTGCATCGGAATCAGCACGCGGGTGAGGAAGAGTTTGTGTTCCTCCTTGAGTGGCAGCGCGAAACCATTGATGATGGAGCCGAGGATTTCGAGCAGCTCAGCGATACCATTGAATCGCTCCGTCTCGTAGATGAATTGGAAGAAGACGTTGTTGATGCTGCGCCGGATGAAGGAGCGCAAGTTGAGGAATTTGCCGTAGATCCGGTGCAGTGTCGTCTTCAGGAAGTCTCTTTCTCGCGGATCCTCGGAGTCGAAAAGCTCGAGCAGCTGCAGCACGAAACCGTGGTCGATGTACTGCTTGGCGAAGTTTGTGTTGAAGTCCTGACTCTCGATGAAGCGGAGGAAGAACTCATAGACGACCTGAATATGCGGCCATGCGACCTCGAGTACGGGCTCGTCTTCTTCCGGGTCAAAAGCCTCGCCTTGCGGATTCATAGGCGGCGGGATGGGACGGAAGAGATTCTTGGCGAACATTTCGACGACGCGGGGGTACATGGGTTCGGAGATGACTTGGCGGTTCTGGGCGACGTAGTCGAGAAGTTCGTGGAGAGCGAGGCGCTTGATTTCTTTGCTCTTCATGTCGCCGGAAGCATCATTGAAGTCGAAGATGATGTTGCATTGGTCCAGCTTTTGCATAAATAGCTCTTGGCGACGATTGGGCGGGACCTCGTGGAAGCCGGGTAGCTTATCGAGCTCGCGTTGTCTTTGGTCGGAGATGTCGAAGCGCGAGGAGTGCTGCCGTTTGGGAGTGCGAATGCCTTCAGGCATGACGTCCTTGGGTGCGGCGGATAGCCGGTCGAACATCATGCTCTTGGAGCCGGCTTTGGGAGGCGCGAGATCGTGAGGCATCGTCTCCTCGGCGCCGGGCGGAGGTATGTGCTAAGGTAGGTCAGCTTCACGGCACTCTAAACGTGTCCGATATGCGACTGACCGGTGCGCTGGGCGACACAATCACGCTCGGCGGCAATATGTTATGTCTCCCTGGTGTTGCCGGGCCCTGCTGCGGTCCCCCAGGAAGGTTCGGCTGCCCAAACTGACCCTGATGTGGTCCGAACGCCATGCCCATCTGCGGCGCACCAGGCGGAGGCGCGCTCGCACCCTGCTGTGTCGGTCCGTCCGGCACAATGCCCTTGTTGCGCGGATCTACCAAGTTCGATGTGGACGATGTTGGCGTCGCCTGCGCCGAGGTGGCCGGTGACAGGTTGGAAGGCCCGCCATGCGGCGACTGACTGCCGGAGGCGTCCTTTTTCTTAGCGAGCTTGTTGCCCTCCTTGTCTCGACCGCGCGACGAGAGGCCCTGCTGTCAGACGACGACGTCATTAGTACGCGACTACACCCAGACGTCCCCGCGAGCTAGGGAAGAGAATATTGGGAAGGGCAGAGGGGTGTTGACCTACCACTTTTTGTCGGAAGCCTTTCATTGTGTGTCGGCGCCAGTGGAATGGGCGTATGAGCGAGCCAATGCCGCCCTCTGCAAGGGAATCGCTTCCCGGCGGTACAGTGCGCTACTTGCTGGCTGGCTCTTTGCCGAATACTGCTGCGCTATTGCCGCTATCGTCTAGCTGTATGAGGGACGGTGGCGGTGTCGGTGGAGAGGGCGGAGAGATGGATAGGGTTTAGACGTCCATGGGGTTGTGTGGTAAGGTGGGTGGTGGGTCGGCGCAGAAGCGGCACAGGGGTGGGTCGGCAATGGGTGAGCTGGATCCTGAGGCTCTGAGGCTACGACACGTGACTGGGTACGGTCAGAGTGCAGGTGGCAGAGAGAACATATACGAGGGGTCGTAGTTGCAACCTGGATTGGTCCACCGTCGTGTCCTCCAGCTTTGTTGTGCTCGTCTTTCCAGTTCCCCAGGGACAACAGCGTGCGGGAGAGGCCGTAGTGTGTGGCTTGCGGCGGGGTCCACCTGGGCTCAATCCAACGCCGTTTCATCACATCCAAGCATCGCTCCGTCCACATTTCTTGCCTCCTCCCACGACATTAATATTGATGCATGAATGCGTAATTGCATGAACAGGCGAGGTAAGGTATCTACTATGCATCAGCATCAAACCTTCAGAGCGGGACAATCTACGTGGTACGCGTACGGCACCTGGCAATAGCAGGCGACGGCGGGACAGCGCCACCGAGCATGGTCTCCATGTCGTATCCACGCGATGCGCAGGATATAGGTGGTCATGGTGCTCCCATCTACAACGTCCCCGACCAACGCGTCGTGAGTATCGAACATCCATGCATCGTCAAGAACCTGGATCGTGGCCTCAAATCGTTGGGTGGTGAGGCACAGATCCAGCATGTAAGTAACTGTCTTGAACTCTCTCCGCCATCATGTATACCCTTCCTGTTGTGACCGCTGTGATCAACTGACTCACGAGCAAGGTACTCGATCACACAGTCGGTGACAGCCAAGTCAAGGTGGGAGGAAAGACGAACATCTACCCAGAACCCGTCCTTGGCGTCTCCCTACGACCCGACGATCTGCTTGCCAAGAAGATGTCTTCCGCTGGTGTAGAGACGAGCAACATCTTAGTCCGAATCACTCTTCCCAAATGGACGGGTCGTAAACGAAAAAGAGACTCGGAAGAGCCATTCACTTTCGTATCACCGACCGAGCAACAGCGCACCAGCATCAAAGCCCCCGCTCTCCTACGGCAACTCCGCGACAACGAGGATGTCTACCAAGTCCAAGCCTTGGGCATGATCCGAGAGACGCATCGCTTCCGCAGCCAGCCCGATCACCAGATGCACGGTGGCGACCTGCCCTCGTACCGCGAGATTCGAGACCACGTCCTTCCCTCAAAGTACTCCAGTCTCGAGAAGTTTGATATCGACCTCAACCCGTTCACCCGAGGCAACGCCATCTATCCTTTGCCACCCACCATGAACGCCATCGACCAACCCTACCAATACAAGTACCGACAAGCCTACGGCGTCGTCTACAAGTTCGACCCCGAAGGCAACCCCATCTGCGAAACCTCCCACATGGGCTACAAACGCGTCGCCGAACCCCTCGCCGCAGACATCCCCACCATCCCGCTC